ATTTCAAACAAGAGTTCAGGACGTTTAATAACAGCATTGGACGAGTCCTCCAGATTTGAAGGATGATTTCCCTGTCTATTCCATCCATCCCAGTTGCTTTCTTTTTCGGAAGGCGGTGAATAGCATCATTCACCTCAGAGAAGGTAAATGGGGGATCGTCTTCCGAAAGTAGTGCGTCGTTCCTACGATTCCTTACTGCGTTTTGCTCAGGGGTGTCCTCAGATAGTGAGTCTGTGGGGCAGAAGTAATCCAGGAGACTGGATATGGTGGTCTCCAAATTACCGGGATTGTCAGGATCACTACAAAGAACATTACGATACTTAATTTTATTTGCACAAAGTTTATAAATAAATCCCCATGGATTCCCTCCAGCTCCAGAGCAAAAGTTTCTCCATGATTCCAGTTTAGCCTTTTTGATGGCTTCTTTATAGGCAGTTTGATGAGTGAGATAGCACATCCTCAATTCATCTCTTCGCTGGTCATGGCAGCGTTGATAGATCCTGCGAAGTCTGTTGTTAGTTTGACGCATCTGAGCGAGATTATGGTTCCACCATGGTGTGGCTCGCCCTTTGTTCCTCTTTTTTGGAATAGCTTTATCACAGGCTGCAGAGATATTGCAAATGGTAGTTTCAATGTAAGTCTTAGCCTGTATATATGAGTCATTTCTGTGTAAAGGCATGTCAATCTGATTAATCATTTCGCAGAATTTGCCCCAGTCTGCAGATTTAGTATTAAAACACTTCTTATGTGAGGCTTCTCCACTGTACTGATTGCAGTGGCCTATACTGTAGGTCAAGCATTCATGCTCCGTAAGACAGTCAAAGGTACCTACCTTCCAACCCTGTATCATGGAACAAAGGTCATCCGAACAAATTGTCAAATCAATCCAAGAATCCCCGTTCACGGTTGAAAATGTAGGTGAGGAATCCGGGTTATTAATGACAAGAAGATTATGAGCGGCAATAAAGTCTTCAAGTGCAATACCTCTGTCATCTTCACTATAGCCTCCCCACATAGATGAATGGGCATTGAAATCGCCAGTAATTAAAAAGCTGTTGCCTTGAAAATGAACCATGGCAGTGTCTAAATTCCGGAGAGTATCTAAAATGTCACTTTTCCTAGAGCAATATACATTGAAAATGACGATCCTTCGGCTGGGGAAACAGACCTCAATACAGACACAGGTGGTTGTACAGAATTTCGGATGTTTGATGATTTGCTAAGTCTGGATTGACAATGATGTCTGCGGCCCATGATTGCCCATCTTGACTTTGAATGATGATGTCTCTGGTACTGAAGCATGCAACCCTATTGTTGCGTCAATAAGGCTCCTGTATTAATGCAATGTCAAAATTGAGCAGTTCATTACGAAGTTGAGAACTGGCCACGATAGACCGCCCCAAGTTTACCTGTACAATATTAATTTTGAAGTTCTGTAAACCACTCAACAGTGAGGGACAGATATATCTGTCCAGGGCGATTGTGTGGCAGTGGTGAGGGACGGATATATCTGTTAAATTCTTTTGGGGGTATCGCCAGAAACTACCGCAAAAAAAAATTCACATAAAAAATGAATTATGTAACAATAAAAAAAGACTTTTCTTTACTAGACATAACTGTTTACAAGATCTTTTTCCGAAATGGTAATGAGTAAAAACATGTGGAAAAATACTTTAAAAATTTCCCACATTAATTCTCCACTACTTTGGGGTAGCACCATACCTGACTATCCCACTGCTGAAAGATTAAACACCAGATGGGAATTCAAAAATTTGTATTGTCCATTTTTGAAAATTAAACTAGTTTTCTGTAAGTTTCCAGTATTTGGCAGTATTCTACATTCTTTGTCATTAATTATTACTATTTCTGCTCTGTAGGTACTAGGGTTTCTCATTTCCCGGGAAATTTGCCTCTAGCGGGATTACGGTAAAAATAATTTCTTTTCCCGGGATCCTGGGAAATTCCGAGATGAGATAGTAAAATAGAATTTTATATGAATAAAAAAGATCATACAGGAATATCATAAATTTGAATAATTTAATTTATTTTCTAGTAAGTAACTAAAAGTGTAGGGCCAATCTCACCCATACGGACACGTTAGGCTCAATTAATTTAGGTTCTCCTACATTATAAGATGAAAGTAAAATAAAGCGTTTCATTGGGTGTTTTAATAATTACGAAAAAAATACTATTTCATTTCTAAAGATGAAATAAAAAATAAACTAAAGTGCAATGAGTGATATTTACTTTCAGCAAGTCTCCACTGTTCAATGATGCGCAAACACAATACATAGATATTACATGAACTAACAAGTAGAGACTTGTAAAACATAGGTAATAATATGCAGCAAGAAACCTCAAAATTTCTCTCTCAGGTGAGTCTTCAAGATGCAACTTTTCGTATAATAAATAAAAGAAAGAAAACCTGACATGGTAAATTATTATTGAAATGCGAGATTTCCCGGAAAAATAAAATTTCCTGGAATTTTTCTCGTATTGAATAAACGGCGAGAATCGCGGGAAAACGGGATCCCAGGAAAGAAACCCTAGTAGGTACTAAGAGCATTTTTTTTATCATGGTTCAGCCAGGCCCACAATTAGGGTGGCCAGATGAAGAATGGGGCTCAACATAGCTGGGACAGGCCATCCCTAAAAATTCATCAGTTTTTTGACTGCCTAAATTTAATCTTTGGTTCCCAGAGTGATAGGCTAATATTTTATTATTTGGCTTGTCTCTTTAGCACTATTGTCTTCTTTCTTTTCCACTGTAATTGCTTCAATTTTTTAAACCAGAGAAATTTTTGTAAATTTCCTATGCTCAGGGGACATAAAAACATCATAGACAACTCTATTTAGGCTCAATTTTTAGTAAAACTGAAACAATTTTGCTTGCATTCAGTTTACAGATGACAACATTTAAAGGAATTTTCAAAATGTATTTATTGTATAAATCAATTTATTTCATGCTGCTGCTGACACTATTTGAGTTTCTTTTTAAAATATGAAATATACTGTCAAACTAAAAACTATTCAAATTATAAATTACAGTGGGTGATTTGTTAATGAACATAATCCGTTCCAAGACTTTGTTCGCTACCCGAATTGTTCGTTAACCGATTATTGATTTACCATAGGTTTCTATGGGAATTTGATTAATTGGTTCTGGAGACCCCCAAAATAAAAAAATATATACTTTCTTACTACCTTTATTTATATGTATTGATGATAATAAAAATACATACATACATAGTCTTGCGTTTTTATTAGTTGTGTTTTTTTTCTGTTTGAAAGGGTTAAAGAATCTGTCTAATGTCGATTGCTTTTCTCTCTTCTTCAGGATTTTTCGTAAGTAATTAATAGCATTGCAATTGCAGAAATCCCCAAGCCTTAACCTGGTTTGGATGCCATTCTAAGACCGTTGTTCTGACATCCTCCCACTTCTTCAAAGGATCTTTAATATAAGATATCGGCATTAATCCTCTTTTTCAGAAGAAAACATATCTCGCCGAGTTTCTTGGTGTTCTTCATTCAAGAGTTCTTGGCGTTCTTCTGTCGTCAGATCCATTTCGTGTTCCATTATGAACTGTTCGATATTCTTTATTTCTCAGATGTGATTTTTGTTACTCCTTTAGCTGCTTGAGTCTTCTTGATTATACAGTATGTTTCTTAAATAAGATTGAACTTCAGCCTACTGTAGACCTGTTTACGCCATACTGCCCAGCAACATTAGGCATCTTCTGCCCACTCTCTACCTTTGCTATTATACTCTCACCTTTCGAAAAGAAAAACAGACGCAAAACTTAACGAGTGCCTACCCGACAGTCTCGCGAATACATAAAAGAATTGTTAAAAATAAGAAAAATAAAAGGCTGGAATTACAAGGGAGAGTTTCAAAGTTCGGAGGAATACTATCCGATCGGTATATACCGGCTTGAGAGTCGATGTCGACGTCTCCCACACTCGGAAAAGTTTCGAATTGTTGCCCGAAGACAAGGGAAGACCAATCGGTATTCATTAATTTACGTCGCTTCTTCTTGTGTTTGTTCTGTGGGGTGTTCATTATCCGATCATGTGTTCGTTGTCCGAACGTAAAAATCTTTCGCAAAAGTGTTTGTTATCCGATTGTTTGTTATGCGATCTGTTTGTTAACCGATCACCCACTGTATTTGAATTGTATTTCTAACTATAATTTAAATAAATATTAATTTCAAGGGAATAACAACAGATTCAAATTATCCAATAGTTTGAATTAATCAAATTCAAATGTAATTTAAATTCTTAAGAATTTACAAATTTTAACTGTGTTGCATCATTTGGTATTTGCAAACAATTTAATTTATTAAAAAAATTTTTTTATTTTAGGATAATATTCCAGAGGAATTTAAATCTTTATTAGCTGGAAGTTCAAAAGCATTTGTCAAACTACTGAACCCCATAATAAATAACTGTGTTCAAGATAAAAAAACTCGTAAACAAACAGTTTTATCAAAATTCAAGGTAAATGTATTGGATTAGAACAATTATTAAACTACTGTACATATTAATTTTTAATTGAATTTTTTTTCCTTAGGCTTCTCTAGATGATTTAGTAAAGAAATTGAATTTATGTGACGGACACTATATCAGATGCTTAGTACCTAATTCTGGTTATCAACCTGGATATTTGAATTCCCAATATTTATTAATGCAATTAAGAGCTTGTGGAATTTTGGAATCAATAGCTATATTTCAAAGGGGATTACCTGTAAGGTAAATTCATTTATAAAGATTTGTAGGGAAGAAGAAACTTTATCAACTATATCTTCAAAGATTGAATATATAATTTTCTTGTTCTTAAATTTTATTTCAGAATCAGATATGACACTTTTATAACTCATTATCATCCTTTATTTGGAAAAAGCGTTAAGTATTTAAAAAGACTTTCAAAGTACATTTGCCAGAATAATGAAGAGTCCAATAAATTACCATTAAAAAGACAAAATGGTTGGTTTAAATTTTAAAATTATTTTATAATTAAAATTTTATATTTTAGTTGTGATTTTTATTTTGGGTATTAATTTATATACAAAAATCAATAATTAAATACAATGAAATAGTTTTGCAACCAGATTTAAAATGTAACTTATCAACCAAATATAATTGACTTAATTGTCAAAATTGAAAATTAAGGTTTCTTTGTTTTTAATCTAAGTTTATGTGTTAAAATAAACTTCAAGAAGATTACTTTGTTATTTTATGTGTAATTACTTTCAATTTATGCTGTTTTGAAAATGTGTTCAAATTTTTAGCTAAACAGTTACAATTAATGTAAAATTTTCATTATATTGATACTGAAGCATATAAACTGTTATTGATAGAAATGAAAAGATTTATTATAAAAATACATTAAAGATAGCCATATTTTACCTGATATTTTTTATGTTAAAATAGAACACAGCCTTGTACAATTTGGACATGAAACCATGTAATTGTACTGTTTAAATAAAATTAAACTAGAAAAGTTTCTAAAATATTTTTTTCCATTTCCATTTAAAATATCAGTGATTTATCTTGCTCAATGTCAAGAAAATCTGCTATGACATACTTTTTCTTTGTAATTTGATTTCTTCTAATAGTGATATAGTTAATATGGTTTGATTTGATAATTAAAGATATGTCTGATGAAACATCTTGATAAATTCTGCTTATATTTGCATGTGTATAAGTTTCATATTGTCACATTGCTGATGTGTATTTCCTATGAAATATGTGATGAAATGCCCTTTAGTTACTCTACTTATATACCCATGTTGAATATTTTAGAACATTTTTCCAATGATTTTTAGAAAAAAATTAATATATTATTTTATCAGATTGTAAAGGTAAAATTTAAATGTAGAGGACGTGGTTGCTGTATCATCAAATGCAGTGTGTAGCGTCTGTGTAATCCAAAACGAGTTGGTAGGCGAACAGACAACAATTGGTTAGAAAACGTACGTTTTATTTAAAAAATTCTTAATTCATATGCATTTCGGGTTGGCTTATATTCCCAACCCCTCTTTAGTGCTGTTAAGATTACACAAAAAAATTTAAGGTTAGTTTTACGACATTGGCTAAAAACTAAAAACGCAAGGTGTTGATAACATAAAAATGCTTACATGACATATAATGGTACAGCATAGATGTATTTTACAAAATTTTAATTACATAGTAGTATGGTATAGCCTATGATATGAAAAACTGTCAAAATCCGAAAACTTATATTGGTGAAACAGGCCGGTCACTAGAAACCAGAATTAAAGAACATATGGCAGCCATCCGCCTAAAACATAACACTTCCCCCTGGTACTACCACACAATAGACTATAATTGCCAAATTAATAAAAACAATACAAATAAAAACAATACATGTAATACAAAAGTGTTACATGTAGAAAAAGACCCATATAAAAGAAAATTTAAAGAACACATAGAAATCAAGAAACATCCTAAAGATAACTTAATTAATGTTTCAGAAGGCATGTCCATAGACCCCCAATGGTACAAACTCATAGAGAATGCCTCCACGCGTTAAAGATTGTTTAAACCACAACCCCCGTGTATGGAATGTGGGTAACTTTATATAACATTACTTGTCGTATTCTGTTACTAGGCGAACAACAGATAACACTAGTTGTTAATTTTTTTGTACTATGTTCCTTTTGTATCGGAAATATTACATTCTAACTAAAATGTAAGTGTGTATTGATATATTTTTTAAATTAATATTCTATGTTATACAGTTCTTCATATGTTAAACAGCCTCCCCCTTATACCACTTTTTTCATATCATAGGCTATACCATACTACTATGTAATTAAAATTTTGTAAAATACATCTATGCTGTACCATTATATGTCATGTAAGCATTTTTATGTTATCAACACCTCGCGTTTTTAGTTATGTTCCTACTAGCCAATGTCGTAAAACTAACCTTAAATTTTTTTTGTGTAATCTTAACAGCACTAAAGAGGGGTTGGGAATATAAGCCAACCCGAAATGCATATGAATTAAGAATTTTTTAAATAAAACTTACGTTTTCTAACCAATTGCTGTCCGTTCGTCTACCAACTCGTTTTGGATTACACAGACGCTACACACTGCATGTAAAATTTAAAGTATTGATTAGGTTATTCACCAATGTAAAATAACTAATATTAAAAGAGAGCAAATATGATATACTGTAAGTGAATGCAAGCTTGTATAATGAAGCAATGTTTCATTCACATCTGTTTGCCCGGGTATAGTGTTGTTCATTATAATGCCATTGTGCAGTTCTGTGAACTTTATCTCTATATCATACATCCATTTGTCAATAATTATAATTTTATTAATTAAAAATAGTTCTATTTTATCTTTGTTTTCTGCTTGTTTATTGTCTTAGTCACTTTTATATTTAATGGGTAAAAACAATAAATTTTTTTGATAAATTACATATTTGTTTATGCTGTATTTGCTTCTCTCATTTAATATTAATACTTTTTATATTAGTGAATAATCTGATGAAAATGAAAACTGGAACCTTTAATCCATCTAGTCATAATATATAAAAATTTCAATCTTATTGCACTCATAATTCAAATACTTTTTTAACTTATAAATCTCTTCTAGTGCCTGGTGCATTGACTATTCTCTTATCTATTTGAGACAGACAGAACATCTTGTTCTATTAAATTGTCATGTATAGAATATTTGTAGAGGTCATGCTGGACTTTTTTTTTTTTGGTTGATTCTAAGATGCATATATTTTACCCTTACTCATCCAAAATAGAGATGCATATTACAATTCATGGCATCCTTTTTAGTCTTAAACAACAATCAATAATTGTTGTGAGTAGACTGTGTGGAGTGGTTTGTATCAATAACTAACATTGTTGTCTATACTGTTAATCAGTCATATCAGTTCAAATGTGTTTTTCTGTGTGTTTAAACTAAACTATTTGTCATCTTGAAAGGAATTTTAGAGGTTGTTACAATGCTGCTAAGGAAGCAAAACTATTTTCTATGCAGAAGAGCATGGAAATGGCATTTATACCTTTATACTTAATTTTATTAAATTTTGTTATCTTAAAATTTACTCTTTATATAACTTGAAATTTTCTTTCAAAATCATGGTGTTCTTGAATCAAAGAAATGATTTTTTGAATAAATTAAACATTTATTTACATTTATTATAAAAAGTTAATAAGTAATTTTATAAAATTTAGGTGGAATGCTACCTGTATTACAGACAACATGTCGCCAAATGATTTCTGATTCTTTGAAGAAAACATTATCTCATCAAGACTGTCAGTTTGGCAGGTTGAAAATATTCTTGTCATCAGAAGTGGTAAAAATTGATAGAAAATTGCATTCATTAGAAGTTTTTTTTTCTAATTAAAAATTCAAAGATAATTTTAAACTAAATTGGAAAAATTAGGAATATTCCCTTTTCTTTAAAACTTACTATTTAGTAATTATGTCAAAACTTAAAAAACTTATAATATTTAATTGCTTTTTTATTTTTCTGCATAGAGAAATCATAAACTGCTAAATTAATGAAGAAAAAGTATTAGAAATTCTATAATTTTTGTTTTAAGGCTATGTTAATAGTGTATTTATTTATTTATTAAGTAAATATTTAAAAAGAAACAAAAATGTTAAATTGTTTAATTTTTGATGTTAAAGTAATTTATTTTAATGTTAACAATAATTTAATATTAATTTTAAACTCTTACCTGTTTAATGATAAATGTAATCAAACTAGGATACAGGGTGTCTACTTAAGTGCTTACCCAGGAGCAAGAGAGCTTTCCAGCATTAAAAAAGTATATGGATGTGATATATGCTTATTTCAGCACTAAAATAATTGAAGAAAATTAGTTTAAGATGATTTAACATAACATATATAAATAATGATTGTTAAGGAAAAGACACTATTCCAGAAATTGATATGAAAAAGTTAATTTTATTTCATTAGAGAACATGTTCAAAACAACCACCTTAAGTGGCAATATAAAGATGTTTACAGTTGAGTTGTGTTATGGATGGTATGTAGCATTTGTTGTGTCAGTTATGGGCCTATCATATGCATCTCTCTAGTTTTCTAACATTACAGTGTTGCTAGATATGCATTTAGGTCAAGTCTGAGGAACATTAGTGACTAAGGAATGGGGCTGTTTTCTCCTATCCAGCAGTTGCCAAACCACTCTGAGCCACATCTCTCTGAGAATGAGAAAAGTATCTGTGTCAGCCTCTCATCATAAACTTCAAACTGGACATTTGGGACCAAAGCAGTCCCAATTCATTGGAGCAGAATAAATAAAATGATGGTGTTTACTATATTGCAAAACCCAGCTCATAGATGCCCTTACTCCTATGTACATGGAAATGATCAACCAGTATCAGCCATTTGGGACGATTTGGTTGGCAGGTCCACACTGTGGCAACTACCATTCTTGGGAAGACCAAGCCAAGGAGATGAGCCATTGACAAGCAAATTTGATGGTGGAACGAGGAAATACAAACAGCTGTAAAGGAGAAAGAGAGAATTGAAACAGTGGTTCTAGACAAAGATGATCTTAAACACTACAAGGTTCTAAAATCAGCAGCCAAGTACACAGTAGCAGCAACTAAAGCTGCATACTATGACTATATTTGTACAAAGAATTGGACATGCCTGTAGGGGAAAAGAAAATTTATTGTCTGGCCAATGCACATCATCAAACCACCAATGACATTGTCCAGGTCAAGCATATGAAAGATGAACACCAACAACTCCTGTGAGATCCTCATGCTATCCTTTGTCGCTGGAATGACTATTTCAAAGTCAATAATGAAGAATTTACCCACCCTCCAATTCAGATGCTGACCTAGTCTCTGGACCAGTGTCCTCAATCACCATTTAGGAGATTGAGGAGGAGGTAAGGAAGATGAAAAATGAGAAGGCAACTGGCCCTAATGATATCCCAGTGGAAGGTACTCAGGGTATCAAAATCTTCACTGACCTCTTCAATCAGATCATTAATGAAGGGGTTGCACACTACCTGCTTGGACAACCAGTACCACAGTGCTGATCTGGTAGGATAAGGGAGATGTAATTGAATGCATGAACTACTAACCAATCTGGCTCCCATGTCATGCTATGAAAATATTTGAAAAAATTATTGACTTGGTTGCAAAGAATTGTCACCATCTCTCTGAATCAATGTGTGTTTGTTAAAGGAACTGGAACAATAGATGCCATACATGATGCCCAGCTACTTTTGGAGAAACATCATAAACATCATAACATCATATTCATATGGCATTCCTTGATCTGGAAAAGTCCTTTCTCCATGTCCCACACAAACTCATCTGGCATACTGTAAGATCTTGTATTGTCCCGGAGGCCTATGTTCAATGGATCCAACTGCTTTATCACAATGTCACCAGTGTGGTTCGCTGTGCAGTGGGAACCTCACCTCCTTTTGTGTTTAAGTACATCAAGGCTCAGCCCTTTCACCACTTTTGTTCATCTTATGTATGGACAATGTGAAGACTAATGTCCAGACACCTTATCCTTGGACACTGCCCTACACTGATGTCCTTCTGACAAATATTCAGCATCATGAACTCTAAGTATTGTACAAATGGAGGAATTGAACAATTGGCTTTGTGAGTTCAGGCTCTGACTGAACATCAAGAAAGAATACATGGAATATAGGCCCTGGACCCTTGGAACCGTCTGTGGAGAAAACCTGAAAGTGGAGTGCTTCGGGTACCTTAGTTCCCCCATTTGCAGTGATGGGGACAACATCTCAGATGCCAGGGCTTGGATCAATGCTTCCTGGATAAAATGGACCCATGTTACTGGGATTCTGTGTGATCATCAAATGCTACTGTCTCTAGTCAAAAGTGTATATATAGAACAGTGGTGCACCTGGTCACTCTATGGATTGGACTGCTGCGAAACAAGAGCAAATCTTACATGCAGTGGAAATGTGGATAATGCTCCAATGGTTCCTTGAGCTAACACATTTTGACCATGCCACAAATGAGGATGTCTGTCTATAACCTGAGGTTGTGGCAAAATTGCATGAAGGATGACTCAGATGGTGTGGACACATTATGACTCAGATTATAACTGTTTTTCATTATAAAGTGTATATAAAACTATTAAAGTGCTAATAAAAAATTGGAATGAAAATGAATTAGATATTTATTAAGTCTTTTTTTTTTTATTGGTTCCTTAATATGTATTCAATAAATAAGTACAGTAGAGCGTTGTTTATCTGAAAGAATTCCAGTTGGCAAATTTAAATTTTCTCTAGTGCTGTGGCGCTGCAATCTTTGGCTATATCTTGGGTTACTCCAATATTTTTTTTGTTGGTGTGTGTGTTTTAGCTGGCAGCGCTGGCACTTTTGTTTGGTGTTTTTCTGAGGACTGTGTGTGGTGGTGAATTGAACGTTTTTGATACTAGATCAACTTCTAAAGTTTTTTTTTTGTTTTTATATTTTTCAATATATTTTGTTTGTAAGAAATAAAGAAATAATTTTTAATGATACAATAGCCACGATTATTATTTTTAAAAAGTTTACGTTAGGCTTAACATTGACGAAAATTCAATGCAAAGCAACACACAATGGAGAAAAATTTCAACATGGGATAAGTTAATATATTTTTTTGCACATAATCGGTTATCTGAAAAATAAGTTATCCGAACAACCCCAGTCCCCAATTGATTCGGATAAACGATGCTCTACTGTATTCATAAGTATATAATTTTCTTAGCAGTCTTAAAATACGTAAAATGATTTTACTATTAATTACAAGTAACTTTTATTATAAAAATGTTCTTTATAAATAATTTATTTATAATGATAAAGAATATGAAATTTTTTTAGTATTCAGTAAAAATTTATAACGAAATATTAATACACTTATAATTAATATATTAGTTTCATGAACTGGAAAGAAGTTTGTTGGAAAAACATTCTGAATCTGCTTCAATAATCCAATTCATATGGAAAAATTACCAAAAAAGAAGAAATAATGCTGCAATTATCATTCAGACAGGTAATACTAATGTATTATTTCAAAATATATATAATAATTTATTGTAATGAGACTGTTTTAAAAAAATTAAGGAAAATCTGATGTCATTTTAAGCAAATAAGAATTTTAATATCTTTACTTTTATGTGAGGTTCTGGATAGGTCTGAACTCTTCATTAAAGTTAATGATAAAGTATTTTTTTGAACAGCAAAAGAGGAGAGAGAGAGAATTTTTTAGTATGAAAGATATGATAAGAACGTATAAATGGAAGAAAGTTAGTCCTCAGATCGACTATTCCCAGTTGGGATTGAATTAAATGTTGATTTTCACCTCTCTTATAATCTGAGTTGAAATCTCATTACACTTACAAGGAGAAGGCCAGATGTTCGGGTCTCCAATTCAAATAAAACTTGCTGAGCACATAGCCCTAAACGCAAACAGCTCCTTGTCCAAATAATAGGACCCATTTCTCAAATGTTTCTGAAAAATGGCCTCTGAAAATTGAGTGTTTAACATACAATAAAAAGTGAAGCTTCCAAAGACTTATAAGTTATAATGGCGATAGCTGTTACAACCAGCATTGCTAGATTACTTTCAGATATTTTTGCTCATGGTTACATACTATGTCAACACTAGTGAATAAGCTTCAAATGTTACTGTGGATGGTGTAGAGTGCCCCCCCGTAGAACTAGATCTGCAGGGCTAGACAAAAACAATGGACAAGTCAACTTAACAGATATACTGGCTTTTAATTAATTCCTGTTTGGCATGATTACGATATATATGTAGAACACAAACTATCACAAAATTGACAAATTTTACAATATCCAAGTAGTACAATAAAATGCTACACATGTTTACACACTTCCCTCTTTTTCCTCCTCAACTTTTGGGGGCTCCTGACAAATGATAAAAAGGGACAATAAAGGCACATAACAAACAAAAAATTACGAACTAATTTACTCATGACACTTTTTCTACCGCATACAAATATTGGAAGAGAAAAACTAATCTGTTCGGATGAATCTTCCACCACTTTGCCGTCTGCTTCGGGTTCAACCAAAAGAACCTCTTTCCTTGGTTTTGTATCTTTTCAAGCCATAATCTGGGCATAAGTTGGTCCTGTGTTACTCTTGACTTCTATAACTCTATCTATTTTTTCCCTTAAGGCGTCCACTGCCACTTGCAGCGAGTCCATAGGTTTCTGCTTTAGTAGAGCAATAATCCTGTTTATTTGGTCGTAGACAAAAGCAACATGCTCTCCTGTTCCTAATCGACACTTATTATTATCTATCATATAGGTTTTCACCTCCTCACGGATACTTTCCACGAGTTTTATTCTTTCCTCTTCTGTCGAGACATCCATTTCGCCTTGGGACAACACCTCGTCGTCCGACTCAGCGACGTGTGGCCTCTTGGCCATAGTCCTTAAAAGGACTGTTTATAAAATGTAAAAGTGCGCAGAAGTTACTTGGCTTCGCCCTTAAGGGCTACTAACAGGCAGGACCTCGTGAAGGTGTAACTCTGCTTCCCCTTGGCCTTGTATTAAAAGCGTTACAAAAGAGCACTCTTGAAAAATAGACGCAGGCAAAATCGCCGAATAAGCTATCGAATCGCTCACAAAAAATGCATACAAAACAATTGGGGCACCCTGCCCTCTTGAATACATTGTTTCTCAATGTTACACTGTCCTTAGTTGGATACATATGGATTGCTCTCTCTTGCCTTATCTCCATCCTCAGGCCTCTCACACTCGCCGCTTCAATCTTGTATATTCACATGTGGCCAGAACACGATCGAGAATACAATCGACCCCCCTATAACACAGTAGATATGTTCCTGTTTTTATGAATCCAGCTTCTGGGAGTCCAGCCAATCACAGCCCAGCACGTGTGCAGTTTACGGACTATGGCTGTTTGAATAAATTGTAAAATTAACCGATTCTAGACAAATTCGACTCAACATTTCCAAAATACATATAATTTTTTGGGAATAATCCATATAAACTATGCTATAAACAAAAAATTGTAGGATTACTTACCGATGTGCACCGTTTGACTACGCCATTGCTTGAGCTTGTTTTCGTCGTGGAGATTGTCATCGAATGGCGCTCGTGTGCTTCCTGATAAATTATTTTTTTTGCGTAAAATTCACTGAACTTTAGAGACATCATTAATATAAATATAATTTTTATGGATGTTAAATAATAAATGGTTTTTGGTAGGTCTGCTGCTTGTTTAAACTCAATGGTTTGTGCAATCCTGTTGTGACACGAGTCGGCGATAACGTTTTACCGAATTATAGGAGTTTTTTTAGCATGTTTGTACGAATACTGTTGCAATTTTTTTGCCATGATATAGGAATCCGAACTATAGGAACCTGTGTTATAAGGGGGATCGACTGTTAGCAGGAAAAAAGTCCTTACTACATGTGGGTCATGACCTTTTATATCGTGCCAAGTGGATATCCTCCTCACGTGATCTCTACTGGCCAATCTGGTTGCCAACATAAGATGAATTGGGGAAAGGTGACACCATGAACAAAAGCGAAGGGGTTGAGGGAAAACTGAAACACAAAAAATAGTCGCAAAGCACTTCCATGGACAAAAAAGACAAGTCTGATACGAAAATAGGGTAGCATTGTCGCAGCATTTTTTAAAAATTGTTAATGTTATGACAATTTTCTTATCACTCATTTTTGTTACACTTCAAAAATAACAATACCATCATATCTGGAAATTTATATGAAAAAATAAAAATTTTATTTAATGATGTAAGAGTTAAATCTACTGAGACTTCATTTTTGCTAAACAGGAAATGACATCACATTTTTAATCTCTTGTTTTATAAGCTTTAAACGTGAGGAATAGTAATGCTAATGATATAATAAAATAATATTGTTACACATAAAGAGAGAGAACTAAAATTACAAAGGTTTGAACCTGCATACTGTTGCACCAATATCTAGTTTTAGTCACTTTGGTATCATTGTTACAAGAAAAGGCAAAACTTCCAAAGATTTATAAGCTAAAACACTCAATTTTCAGAGGTCTGTTTTTCAGAAACTCTTGAAAAGTAGGTCCTATTATTTGGACAAGAAACTGTGTGTTTAGAGCTATGTACTCACCAAGTTTTGCTTGAATCGGAGACCTGAACGCCTGGCCCTCTTCTTATTTGCAATGATTGACCAACCATGAAGAAAGCAAGAATAGGGAAAAGTGACCAATTGGAATGTGAGATCAGGAACATGACATAATAATAAAAAAACCCAGACTTCAAGGACACGATGGCTGCTTTTGAAAATTTCAAATGTCAGATCCTTTGTCATGTGTGTCTTGTGCCTATCTTAGTCTGTCTCTCTTCCTTGGATCAACATCATCATCTCATTGGAAGTTGACTGCATTGTCCCAGAGACATCAGAGGAACTCACACTGTAAACCAGAAACATTTCTTCATTTGGGATTTGGAAAGGAAGAGATCTAGAGACCACCACCAACTATGAACTTGCAAAGTGCAGAAATCTTGCAAGCTCCTTTCGTGTTGAGTAAATGGTTTCTTGTAACTGTTAAGTCCATCAGTACCAGTTAGATCCACATATGACCCTATTGATCCCTCTGTCTATCCTGACCTTGGATGCCCTTGTTGGCAACCTCACATTTGTTGTTAGCTGATTAAAAAAAACCTTAGTTATCTTGATTTGAATATGGACTAGATAAAAAAGTATTGGTATTGAATTAACTTCTATATTGGTCAATTGCTATTAGCTATTAAGTTGAAAGAAGAAACTTTCTCTATTAAGAAAAACTGAAATGTTTATCATTTATGGATATTAATAATTATTTCTAAATGATAGATTGATATAAAAGTAAACAAATTTGTAGAGAAAATTCATAAATTTATTGCAAAAGTAAAAATATTTAGTATTTAGAACAGGGGTGGCCAACCTTTTGCATACCATGCGCCAATTTTTTGATAGAGGAGTTTAGATGTGCAGTGGTGTACTGTGGGTATTAGTTGCCCGAGGCGGAGAAAAATTTCGGCCACCCCTTAATTAGGTATTTCAATTTATAAGACGAAAATTCAGTTTTGCCACAGCACAAGCAATGAAAAATGCGGTTGTAGTGTAGTTACCCATATAAAATAGTTCTATACGATATTAGTGGTGTACATGAACACGAATGTATTGTGTATCGTACAGGGGGAAGAAAAGCTCAACAGGTGTCGCAGGAACTACTCGGGAGAAGACGTTAGCAGTCCAACCCGATTCCTGGACTGTCTGGACAGTAGCACTGTCGTGGGACGTTAGCACTGTCATTTAGACACCTGTAAACTGATCGAAAATAAACATACATGCATGCACTGTAATTTACTATGTGGAGAACACTCATTTTATCTGTAAAGTTGATTGCAATGAATTGTGTAACAAATGAACTTGCCAAGATAGACTATAAAAAATTAATTTTCTATGTAATATTCATAATTGCAAAGAAGCCAAATCTGGCAATGTTGCTCAGAACTGACTGAAGTGCCACTTGTAATCGTCCAATGCGCCAAGTTTGGCGCATGCGCCACATTTTGGCCACCCCTTATTTAGAATATCAAATTGAACAATTTCCATAATTATTTTAATTTTAGTATAACTTGTTAATTTAGAAATTTTTTAGAAAATTTCTCCCTCTTCAGTATATTTTCATATTTTTGTGCCCACAAATTGAACACTTAAGAATAATTTAGAATAATCTTTAGTTTTCACTTCAGAATCTATTTAATTTCCATTCAAATTCTATTTATTATTATTAGTAATACTTAAGTTTATCATAATGGTTTTTTATAACAAAAAAAATGAATTAATACTAAAGATGCAGACATGTTTTAAACCAAGGGTGTCACATTGGCAGACCATGGGTCACATGCAGCCCCTGATGTGATTTGTTGTGGCCTCCAGCCACAATGTTCTGAAATTAAATAAGACGGCTTACGGATCAAGATTAACTGATAAACATCTATCTGCCATAATGAAGATTGTTCTCAGTCTTTGAATCCAGATATTGGAAAACTAAGAGGAAGATAGCACTGGCAAGTTTCTGGTGAAAACAATTAATTTTAGTTCTATAAATATGTACATTAATTAAAATAAATGTTTAAATAAAAGCAATACGATAGCAATTACATATTGTTGAGTTGAATTCACTGAACTACAAAATGTGTTTTAGTTGCCCTAGCTATATTCCTGTATTCTCACTTCAAATTATAATTTTAAGAAAATTTGTAAATGTGATCTGGCCCGTGTGAACCTTACCAGTCACATTAATGGCCCATTGTTTAAATGAGTTTGACATCTGTTTTAAACTAAAATTTCTATGATTTTAATAAATTTTCAGTCTTTAGTTAATTTTAATAGCAGATAGTCTGAAAAATCAAGAGGTTTGTTTAATTATTTTAAGTTAAACAAATAGATTAACTTTTTCATTAAAAAAGGTAGGCTCTTTAAAGTAGAGAACTTTTAAGATTAGCAAGAACAAGGAAAAGTGACCAATTGGAATGGGAGATCAGGGACATAAATATTAATAACCCCAGATTTATACATTTTAATATTATAGTTCAGAAGTGTAAAATTTTGGCAAGTAGTAATTATGGGACATAAGTAGAATTTTTTTTGTTTTGATTTTTATTAAGAGATTAATAAAAATTTCAAATAAAAATGAATTAGAAAAAGTCAATCTTTACTTTGTAACTAATTTGTATATATATATTTTTTTGTTTTAGCATTTAGAAGATGGAAGAATCGTAGTCATTATATAAAGATGAGAATGGCAGCAATAAAAATACAGAGAGCTTTCAGACAATATATGACTCTGCAAAATGACAATTTTACAACAGTAAGACTAATTTCTAAAGACCTGTCTTCATTTCAGTCTGATGGAGACAAATTCTATTCTATATCAGATTTTAGTAGAAACAATTCAGTCTGTCTCAGTGATGATTTCAGTGAAAATAAAGGTATACTAACAGGAACTGAATTAAGAAATATCCGTCATAATTCTGATGTGTTTGATGTTTCAAATGATGATAATTTTATCAACGAATTTAAACTAAACCGTTTATCGCAAATTAACGTTAATGGCAATTGTGAAACAAACCAATATATAAGTAATAAAAATGAAGTAAATGCATTTCCAGAGGAATGCGTGTTTGAAGATGATTTCAATGCAAGAAATAATAATTTGAATAATTGTAGAGAAACATTTCAAAAAAATAATTTGGTTAATTTCTTTCCTTCTTACTTCAAACAGAAAAAGGAACATGAAAGTGGTGAACAGGAATTACACTGTGAATTTAATGAAACTATATCAATGCCAGTGTGTGAACTCAGAAAAATTTATCAAACTAAATCAGAATTTGTAGAATATAAAAATTTCAATAAAGACAAATTTAGGGAATCACATAATATAAATTTGGAAGCAGCAGACGATTCTGAAAGTCAAATTCACAACAAAAATGGCAGAGAAGTGGTGTCCAAATCTGTTCCTTTGTTCACTGCAATTCAGCATCTGTACCTAAAGTATGGATTACTTTCAGTTAGGAGAATGCCAAAAGTAAGTTTACAAATACATTATAATTTATAAAACATTAAAATAAAGAATTTAAAGATAGTTAGTACGTAGCTCATTTTAACAGAAATTTTATATATCTTTTTTTAAATTTGAAACATTTAAAAATGTTTTTTTTTTTATCATTTAGACAAAGATTCGTTTTCACACACGTCTAACACCTCTTCTGTATTCCCATTATCCGCCATTATGTGAAATTCAATGTAGTCTTACCGATGCCCTCGAAGACGAAACAGATTGCATCATCCACAGACTAGAAACAAATTAATAATTTATGTTATACTAACTCCAATGTAAAAGTCATTAGTATAAAGTTAGCTCAATTGTAATAGTTGATTTATTTGTACATTATGTAATATATCCTATAGGAGATTACATCCTTTTTTTACATTTGTTAACATTGTTTTATAAATAAAGTATCAAAGAATAGTTTAGAGTGGCCAAATTCATATGCTAAATTAGAAGTTATTTATATTATCCCTTCCATTCTCCACAAAATCTAACTTTTCATGTGCTCTTTTAGTCATTTCTCATGTTGACAGTGGAATGTAAGTAAAGCCGAAGTTGGTCCATGGTGAAGTAAATACTGATATACAGTACAATAGTGTCACTGTAATCTGACAAGAATCCAACTGATGGGTGTTGGATTACTGGCTTTTGTATGTATGTACTGTTTAGTAAAATATGCACTTGATTCATAGATTAGTTTATCATATTAATCACAATTGTGCCTGTTTTGCCAACCATGTGTGCAAGAAACAACTAGTGACTGACAGTACACGTGTACATCAAATAGTAAAAATTTCACACTTGCTGCTCTGTGGTGATATGTCAGATTACTGGGAATTTCAAACTGGCAAGTGATGGACTAAACTCTATTGTATTTTGTAGTTGAATAATAGAGAGGTTGAGGCAGACATTTTAAACGTGTAAACGTGTAGGTCGGACGTTCGGCGCCGCTTTCCCATAAGCCTAAAAGTTTGACAATGGTGTTTGGATAGTCGGTGGAATCACACTCGACATTCCAAACACCATCATCAAACTTCTAGGCTTACGGGAAAGCGGCACCGAATGTCCGTCCTACACGTTTACACGTTTAAAACGTCTGCCTCAACCTCTCTAATAACTTATACAAATACTAGTACCAAAATAGCAGGTGAAATTTTCTCTAGGTATTCATTAATACAATGACTTATCCGAGTAGAATAAATGTTAATATTCAATCTTCCAATAGCTGTTTTTAAGTGGTAGAGTAGACATTATTTCACAATGGTTTCAAAATAAATTGTTACATATTAAAGTTGGAATTGAAGAAATCCATGCCATATCAGATCCATGTCCATTCTACCATCCCAGTTTATCAATGTTTTGTGCAAAGTGCAAATGATTTCATGTAAAGCTGCAAATCTAATGCACCGTTAACTGTTGTTCAACAACTCATTATTTTTAAATAGTGCGAGGTAAACAATGTGGTTCTCTGTTATATTGCTGGAGTTCTTATTTCTTTCCTCTTCGTTTTGGATCACAAATGAAAAAACAGCATGTCTCTTGATAGAGGCAGCCATTTTTGTTTGAATCAGGTGACTGGTTGCTGCAGGGATGCTTAATGTACAGTTGCCATACGTTTCGATTTGAAACACTTGATCCCGATTGGAATTTTTTAAAAACTCATTTCTATCAAAATTAAGTGCTTTTTCCTTTTATAATAATAATATCTCATAACAGATGGTGCAGAGACTATTTATTAACCATTTTGGCTTCAATCGTAAGTTTCAAAGTTTTTCTCTTAAATATTTGCTGTTACGAATATCGTTTTAATAAAATAATTTAAATGTCGCAATCGAGTTATATAATAAGAATCGTGCCATTACAGAGTTCTTATTATGACGTATTAAAACCTGAAAAAGTACAACTTATATTGAGTAAATACGATATACTTTATTTGCTGTTTATAATAGGTATGTGATGTACAAATGTTTATCAATTTGAGTTGACATGTAAAAATCTGCCTGTCTACGTGCCAACTTGTTTGGTTGACATGGATGTGCCAGTAAACTTTGCCTTTAGTTGCTTTACAGGCTAATTTATATGAGTAATATTTTACACGGTAGCGTTAATCTTTCGATAATAAATTTTGAAATTTTTTTTATATAATTCTATATTTTTTATTTTATTTATTTATTTATTTATTGAATTTTTGAGATTGGATTCTCGCACAGCCTATGGTCATCTTGCAACGCCTGTAATATTTGTAAAGATAATTATTAATTTATACGCGTTTTATCTTGTTTTAGCCACGACAACACATGTTCGACAAGTTAGATTTGTAAGATTTCAAATCATAAACATGTAAAAATTTCAGCAACGAGGTGCGTAATTTTTTCCCGACAAAAAACACTAATGAGTGAGATACATTGGTACAAAGTTAAAATTGCATGTAATACCATCTGTCACGAGATTTCATTAGTAAGTTTTATTAAATATAAAAATTTATATACAATCGTAAAAATTCCAAGTACAAATTTAATTGTTGAAGTAATTATAATTCTAGTTTGAACGTATCCACTGCAATGCATATTTTGGTTGAAGTACAACGTGGAAATGGTTCCCCCCCGCAATACATTATTCTCTGATGAAATTTTTTACAAGTAGAACATTGGTTGAAATACAGTCTGTATAGGCCTTTTTACAAGTTGTTTTGGCCAGTTATAGTCGTTTAAACACGAGAACACTGCTTAACGTTTCGTTGTCACTTTGCCACAGTAAACGCTACTGTAGTAGTTCTATGCACTTTAATCGAAGTACAAGAACGAATTTCGAATGGTGTCGAAGTATCCGTCCTTATGTGAGATAGCAGAAATTCCTCTTTTTAAAACTACTCTTTAATAGTAACGTTGCGCGAGTTACGCGACAATTGTTGGTCTTAGCTACCTGAGAAAGTCTCCCGTTACATATTCTCGAAAGCAACATGACGCTTTCTCGTGAACTATTATCGTCCTCCGTCGTATATCGCGCAGGGAGGAACATCCTCGCCTTTTTTCGCGTTAACTAACTAGATGGGCGTCGTTTAACGATTCGGCTGAAATTCGTTAAGTATTTTCGATCGCATGCTGTCTTTCGTTGTAGAAATTGCGACGCTCTCCAACTGACACTTGCATTGCACGAAATCGTGCAATGCAAGTGTCAGTATTGTGCATCTGTCGTGCGAGCGCCGTGACCGCTTCCAATAAAAACACAGTAGTACTCTTTAAACGAATTAATGATTCGATTATTTATACACCGATCACGGACAGCCATCGACAACTTACGATCCGTTTGCTTTCCACACGACGAAACGAAACACGTTTCTTAAACTCTTTTTTACCACGTCCACCGACCGCAACCGTCATTCTCTTCCCGACAGATTTGTGGCAACAGCTACGCTTTTTAACGAGAAAGTGTAGATGGAGAGATTTCCATTATCGGCAACAAGAGATGCGGCGATATCTTTTCGCGATAGTCGATAAGGCAATCTGCAATGCATTAAGGTGATATGCGACACGCGAATCTGTGTGAGGTCCCATGGTGTGACTCTGAACTCTGAACTTAGCACTCTGGACTCTGAATCCAGTGATCCGAGTTCAAATCTCGGTGGGGCCTTTGTTTCTTCTTCTCCCCTGTCATCTTTTATGCAATTGAAGGCGACAGCGACAGTATTATTCAGAAACTTCTTTTGCTTTGAATTTAGAACAGAAACTCTGCTTCACACACGTGCGGCGAAGCAGAGTTTCTGTTTGACGCTTTGCAACGTTTCGATATGTTTACTCTACTTTTCCGATGCTTTCAAAACGGAATTCAACATGTTTCGAAACAATAATGCTAATTGGGTCANGAACAGAAACTCTGCTTCACACACGTGCGGCGAAGCAGAGTTTCTGTTTGACGCTTTGCAACGTTTCGATATGTTTACTCTACTTTTCCGATGCTTTCAAAACGGAATTCAACATGTTTCGAAACAATAATGCTAATTGGGTCAGAACTTTGCTACATTTCACATTGACCGGTATCGGCACCCTGGGATTTGGCAGCCCGCGTGCATGCATCTACCAGGACCGTCTCTGATTCCATCCATTAGTCACTCGTAGGCAGCTATTTGACTGATTTAAAAATTAAAGAATATTTTCTTATTTTTATGTACGTTTCTTTTCAAAGCTATATTTAATTATAATTTTCTTTAAAAGTATATTAATACAATTGAAGAATATTTTGTAGCAGGTGTGTACTGTACATTTATCACACGTTTTATTATTTTATTTTTAGTTTTAGCCCTTATATTTGGCTAGCGATTTATTATGCTATAACCCTATCACTTTAGCCTTTAAAGCATACGAACACCATATATACAATTATTTCAATAAAGTTAATTGTTTACATTTATGTTTTGGTTGTCTTTAATGTTTTATTTACCAATGTATTTTAAAAAGTCTGCTATTTTGAAAAGTCTACCTGATAATTAGGCAGTTTATATCTTTCTGTAATAATTAATGAAATATAAATTATTTTTAATAATGTTTCATGTAGATTGCTCCACACACAAACTTTTAAATTGCAACTAATGTCACAGTGTTTTTCAAATTTTAACTATAAATTCATCAAAAAATGCGCAACTTTAATAAATATCGAATCTGTAAACATTTAATATAAAATTTAATTAGTTTTATTAAATATAAAAATTTATGTACAAATTTAATTGTTGAAGTAATTATGATTGTGGAGTACACAAACCGAGTACGTGTATTTTTTGCTTTATTTAAATTCGTCTGGTATGCC